GAGAAGGGTGCAACAATGAATGAATGGAATTCCAAAATCTCTGTAGATGTTCATTGAAATGAAAAATAAACAAACTAAATTAAAATTTAAAAAAACCAATGTGTACAAACTTTGTAAGTTAACCAGTATAAAATAAAAAAAAATAGATATATTACTTGACTAAATATTCATATTACAGCTGTATTCCTTTTAGGAACAATTTGTTGAGTTTGAACAAATATAAGTGAACACGTTTACTTACTTTGGAACTTTTCCCCCAAATAAGTATCTTGCAAGAATAATTTAAAGTATCATTTAAAAGAACATTGTCTTCTTCTACAGATTCACCTTTTTGGAGTTTTGTTGGCCATTTTAGGAAACTTGATAATCAGCATTTCTCTAAATATTCAGGTAAGATAAACTCTTTCCCTCTAACCGTGTAGTTTGATTTGGGGCTGTATTTCTATTTTCAAGGCTCCTGAGTACCCTTATCTTTATGACAAATTATATATATATACACACATATATATGTATATATATATATATGTGTGTGTGTGTGTGTATATATATATATAATGGGTGTAATAATTTACATATGTGCATGTATGTGTGTGTTTTTATGTCTGCATTGTTATAAAGACACACATAATAGTATAATCTACTTTGACGTTTAAATGATCAGTTTTTCAGGGATTTATTGGTAAATATAAGGAAATATTCAAACTAGATATGTAAGTGCCACCCCCAATCTCCCATTCCCACCAAAGTACTCTGACATGCCTGTTTCATTGTATTATGTTTTTGACCTAGGAAACTTATTGTAAAATATTTTTTAAAAAATACTGTATTGTTTCATCATTATTTATTTTAGCTCTGAATTTTTTGGCCCTCTTAACGAATTATTTTGAGACAGTGGACCAACCATCACTTAACTCTTTAAAATATACTTCATCTTTAAATAGAAATAATAATAATGATTTTACAGTGTTGTTACAAGAATTGCCTCATGCATGTGTGAAAAGTCATTTTTAAACTGTCACATTCTTGTAAGGCTGAGTCATGCCTACTGTTCATATGTTTAGAACAAACATGAAACCATAATAATTGCTCTATAACAATCTGCGAATAAATTTAAAAGCCACGGGGCTGAAAATTTCAAGACATTTTAATTGAGTAGTAAGCACTCTTATTTATATTCTGATTTACTTCCAGAAATATTCTCATCTTCAGTCGGCATACCAAGAGCACCCCAGGCCATTTTTCAAGAGCGTGTCATGGTGGGGTGCAGTGGTCCTCATGGCCTTGGGGGAGACGGGGAACTTTGCAGCCTACGGATTTGCCCCCATTACTCTCATTGCTCCCTTGGGTTGTATGTCCGTTACAGGTGAGCCATTTTTCTGTGCTTTGCTACGTAGATACTTTAAGAGATCAGAATCCTTTTCGGGGAAATGTACAACTGAGCTGACGTATGTACAAGAGAAGAATGTCTATGCCCTGTTTACTTAGCATGTTGACTTAGAATAACTGCACTGCTAATTTCTGTCACTCCCTTTTTAACTGTTGCATCATCCACGGCTCACTGCTCTTGTGTAAGTTCTAGAACTTTGAATTTTCTTTAAATGCCTAATTCCCAATACCTGAGTCTAAGTTAACCCAACAATGACAGCAAATGCTATCTTGTGCTTTTAATCATGAATGAAAAAGATTCTAATAAATTTAAGTAATTAATGCATTTAATCAGTGAAAGCTATCTAAAAGCATTTCTAATACTTTTATAATTTTATACTAATGCTCTGTTTTATTCCTATGTTAAACTGGCATAGCATGTCGTTAGATGTCTCACCTTGACTACCTCGTATCGTTTACATTAGAAGTTAAATGTTGATGAGCAGTCTCCCCCTGGGCCATTTACAGCAACTACTCACTGGTTCAACTTAACAGCAATAACTTGGGTTGTGTGAGGTCTCCCCCTCCCCATATTACTATTTTAAGGAGGGACAGAGGAAAATCCATAATTAGGTAATTTGGTTGTCATTTTGTACCATCTGGTGGGCTCTGACTCAAAGACCCTGTATATGCTGCTTTCTCCTTCACCGCCCTCACAATCGTTGCTGTGCTGAAGCCCATTGTTGCAGTCACTGTGTCAGTCTGTCTCATTGACAGTCACCTTCTCCTTTTCCAACCTTCTGATGTTCCTAGCCTGACGTCCTTCTCCAGAAATCAGCCCTTCTTAATAACATCCCTAAAGTACATGAAACTAAGTGTCTCCCTCTGTACCTGCTTCAAAGGATCACTCTGACTGTACTTTTCAAAGACAGATTTGTTTGTTCTCTTGGTAGCCCAGGATATAGACACGTAGTAAGTCGGGTTAACGAAAAAACTAACCAAAATAAGAGGGTGCTGAGCATAATATCACTGAAAAAAGGAAAGACATGGAAAGGTGCTCAAGACTTATGAAAAACAAAGGTTAATAGCTATTAAAGGAACTTTTAAAAAGAATTTCTAATTTTACAGTAATGTTGAAATTATCTAGTTTTTGAAATGTATGATTTATTAAGTGCATATAGAAAAGAGAAAATGAAAATGTTCTAATGACTGTAAACAAACAAAAAGAGCAAAAATTGCATCTTTAAAAGGAGAGCAAATTCTCTAAGCTCTGCTAAAATCTGCAGAACCTTTTCAGTTTTGTTTTATCTGCTGCTATGGAAACAGTATGTTTTAAAATTTCTGTGAATTTTGAATTTTCATGCAAATAGAAACAAGTTGATAGTTATTGTTGGTTGACAACAAGATTGAACATAATATGTATTCACACATTCCAATCTCAATGTTTCTCCTGGGAGAAAAAAAAAACAACCCACAAAGAAGCGTATGATATTCTGAAGTAAGACATAGTTAATGCTGGGGTCATGTCTCTTCAAAGAGAATTTCATTTTATTTTGAAAGTAGCTTTTGCTTTATAGTAATTTCAAGAATTACATCTAAGAACATTTCCATGATGCAGAATAATAGAATATAGACCAAAAGCACTTGCTTAGCTTTCTAGAAATTGTTTTGTTAGAATCACCAGGCTGTTACTACTCTCAGTAGGCACACAATTTACGTAATCCTCTACCTTGTTTAACAGTCCAATAAAATGAACACATCTGCCATAGCTTATCTTCACTGCAAATAATATGCTCATGAACGTTCTAGATGCTTTTTAACCTTCTCAAAGTCTAAGAGATAGTAAGCAAAAATGCTATATTGTCTATATGTGGCCTCTGTTGTTATGGATACCCTTGAGTCAGAACCAACCCATAGCTGACTCCCCCCACCCCCCGCGGGTTTTCAGAGGCAGTTAATCACATAGGATGATAGAAGATTGCCCATCCTTCTCCCATGGAGCAGCTGGTGGCCTTGAAACACGTGTCTTCAGGATTGCAGCACAGCTTCTTCTACTAGGGCCTCCAGAGCTCCTATATGTGACCTCTCAAGGCTCCAGTTATTCTGAAAATATGGCATTGTTTTCATAATGACATTTATATGTATGTATATGAACGCCCTATATTTTTAATGCTGACTTTTTAGTTCTTACTTTGCATTATGATCAGTGTCCATGAAACAGCCAAAGAAAATATGAGGGCCAGAGAGTATCAGCTGTCTGGAGGAAGGCCAAGTTCACCACATTGAAAGACTCCATTTACTTGATTTTTCTACCTGAGGAACGCTTTCTTTAGGTATAAGGAAAAGGAAACTATACCAACTTGCACAAATATATTTGTGGAACTGACTTATTGTGGAGATAAGCGATTTCACAGAAATGAAATGTAACCAGATTTCACAGGACCTAGAGAGTAACAAAACATTAAAAGTCAGCTCAGTGGCACAGGAGTATTTACTCTATCGTAAAGTGCCAAAAAAACCCAACAAAAATGTAGCCAGGGTGTACTTTAGAGGCAAGGATGGTAAGGCTTCACCTCCTGTACTTTGGGCATGTTTTCAGGAGAGGCCAGTGCCTGGGGAAAGAACACTATGGTAGGAAAAGCAGAGCGTCAGTGAAAGATGGAACCCTCGACAAGATAAATTGAAATAGTGACTAACACAATGGCCTGAAGCATGGTGGAGAGAATGAAGATGATACAGGCCTGGACACAGCCTCATTTGTGTATGTGTTGTGTTGTGTGCCATTGAGTCAGAACCTTCCAGCGGATTTTCAGAGGCAGATAGTTGCTTGGGAGAAAATTTCCCATCCTTCTCCCTCCCATAAAGCAGCTGGTGGATTTGAACCAGATGTCCTCAGGATCTCATCATTAGGCCACCAGGGCTCCCTATTGTATATATAGTCACCATGAGTTGAAGTTGACTCAAAAGTACTAAACACTAAGGAATTAATGAGTTTAATCAGAGCAAATGCTGATGTTCTCTTAGCTTTTACCAAGTAAGCTTGTATCATCTATATATCACAGGTTGTTAATGAGTCTTCCACCAGTCCTCCCCAATTTCTAGGACTCTCTGCTCAGTGTACAGATTGAATACATTAGTGAAAAGATACAACCCTGACACCCATCTTTCCTGATTTTAAACCACACAAACTTCCTTTGTTCTGTTGGAAACACTGCCTCTTTTGTCTATATACATCTTCCTCCTGAGCACAAGTAAGTGTTCCGAAATTCTCCTTCTTCTCAGTGCTATTCACAATTTTTTATGATCCAGAGTCATGTGACTTTGCATGGTCAATAAAACACAGATAAACATCTTTCTGGTGTTCTGTGCTTTCAGCCAAGATCCACCTGACAATAGCAGGAATATCTTTTATTCCACATCCTTTTCTGAATCTAACTTGAATTTCTGGCAGTTCCTTATTGACATACTGCTAAAACCATTTTTAAATTATCTTCAGCAAAATTTTACAGTAATAGAATGTTTGATCATTTATGCATTCTGTCATTGTCTTTGGAATTGGCAGAAATAGGACCTCTTCCAGTTGATTGACCAGGTGGCTGTCTCCTAATCTCTTAGCATAGACTCATGAGTACTGCCAGAATTGCATTCATTTATTCATACTGCCTGCACCCAAATCACAGTTCTGTTGCTTACAACCTCTATGGCTAGGAGAATGTTTCAATCAACCTGAATCTAAAGATTACTGTAAAATAGTCATAAAAATACTTTTAACTTCAGAGTTTGCAATGGGGATGATTCTTATAAACACAAGGGTCTCAGAACAGTATTTGACACACTGTTGTACTATATACATAACTAACTCTATAACTAATATTATATCATATCATATAAATAATATCATATAACTAATACTACCTCTAGTATTGTCATTGTGATTTGTAATAATTACTATTACGTAGAAACAAAGTATAGTATTCATTATAATGCAGTGTATTTCTGTAATTAGAAAGGTGGCTGAATTCTCTAAACTGCATAACCCAATTTAAGAAATGGTTCTTTACTCCATGCAGTGTTCTTATCCATGCAGTGGTTAATTTCCTGAAAATTATCAATTTAGAGTTCAGGGTGTAGGGAAGTAGAATTGCCCAGGTTCATTTGTTCAAACCTCAAGCAGTAGTTCCCCTTTGATTCTCAGTGTAATCCCTTCCAAGGATGCAGAAAACAGGAGGATTTCCAAATACTCTATAAAGAGGGAACACATTAAAATACACAATAGGAAAAGAAGCTTGAAAGAGAAGTAAAATTTCCATCTATGTGAAACTTTCTTTCTTCTTGCTATAGATTATATATACTCCTTTGTCTGCTTGCTAATTGGCTACCAGTATCAGAGATTGTGAAGATGGCCCAGGATTGGGCAAGGATCAGATTGGTTGTTCATAGAGACACTATGAGTTGAAGTCGACTCATTGGCACCTAACAACAACAACAACTGGTTTCCATTGAGTTGACTCCAGTTCATGCTAATCTCATGCTTGTCGGGTGAGAACTGTTCTCTAGAAGGTTTTTAATTGGCTGGGGGTTCAGAAGTAGATCACCCAGCCCATCTCCTGAGGTACCTCTTGTCGACTCAAATCTCCAGTCTCTTAGTTAACCAAGTACCTCAACTCTTTGTCTCACTCAGGAACAGATTTCTTTCAAGCCTCACTAGAATTGAGAAATTTCTCTGTTGGATTTTCTGGGAAACTATTTTGACAGAAGTTCTTAAGAAAAAAAGTGTTTTGGGTATTCTATGGAATTGGTTATGAAATTTTAAACTGCTCCTAAGCTTCCATGTCTCGGGTATACCCCCAGTCTCCCTAAAGGCTTGGGAGGATTTTTTTGCTTCTGTTGTTGTTGTTATGTGCCGTCGAGTCACTTGCGATTCATAGCGACCCTATGTACAACAGCCCTAAACTCTGCTCTGTCCTGTGCCGATCACACTGTCTCTGACACTCCTAT